GTCTCAAGAGGAAACGCAGCTTTTTGATATAAAGTTTTTCTTGTTCCCGAATACAAATATTTTTTAAAGTATTTGTTCGAAATAAGTATTCGTAAAAAACACAATATTTGTGCCTTTCCGAATACCGTATTCGGGTTCGGCTCCACCCCTAGTCTCCACAATGTAATGTATAACTGGACCACACACACACACACACACAATAAAATGGATGTTATGGAGGAAAAAAATGTTGCTTTACATATTATTATTATTATTAATTCCAGTGTATCTGCCTATTTTATTTACATATCCCATCTTGTTCTTCTTTGAGACATACGTATATATTTGATGCTATGCTATGCTATGCTATGCTACGCTAGGCTCTGCTATGTGTTTTCTCTACCATGTTGGGTCAAGGCCAGGCCTGTAGGGTAGCCATTAATTCAGGACTTCAGGCAGATTAAGATGAAATGCAGAAATGCTTCTTTTCTGTGAATTCTGTATAAACAGATAATGAGTAATGACTACAAACAGAATATTTTTCTTGTCTCCTTCACCGATCTGCTGTTATGCTTCTGTTTTTTATGTTTCTTGTCATCTGGGAAATTCTTTTTAACCCTCAGAAAATTACATAGACAGACCGTGATATTTAGTCTACTTGCATGTAATAAATCACATGTGTTCAGGGGCGTGTGACGTAGCCTGGAATGCCTTTCTGCTTACCAGGCATTGATTGAGCTCTTCTACGAATCATCGGTCAGTGTCCGCCGACTCCATCGACCAGGCTGTGGGTTTTCTCCAGTGTCCTTGTGTAAACTCTGAATGAACATAGGAGCAAAGGCTCTGTGTGTCCAGAGCAGTGGGAAAGGATGTGGTTTGCCTACAGTATCGAGATACAGGAGGTATCTAACAGGTTTATGCTGCATTAACGTCACAGAGGTCGGCATGATCCACCCAAGATCCACTTCTTGCCTTAGGTGTTGATCTGCTGCAGAAATGTGGCTGTAGCGACTGTGGGCTGTTGTCACGGCGACTCAGAGTTAGCAATGCTCTGTCTTGCTCTGCTTTCCCGATCAGTGAAAGGGACAGTCGGTGAGTCACCCCACATGTGTGAGTGGTAAAAGATTATGACAGTTCAGCTGTGGCCCTGATTCTGCCACCGTGAGCAGGGGAATTCATAGATAAAGATTTTGTCGGGGTGTTGGGAAGCTTTAGTAGGTAGAGATGTGCAAGGGCCAGTCAGAGATAAGGTCTACGTGCTGTTTTTGAATGTTGTTTAGTGTTCTGAGCACTGAGCTCCACTCAGCATCAGCACCCAACCCAAAATCCCGCTGCCAACTCCTTTACCCACACTGGTCCATCAGTCTTACTCTGTGGACCAAAGGTCTCCTCAAACCTGATCTTGTCACATCATGTTTGTGCAAAAAGGACATTTAAACCCTGCTGCTGTGTTTTTCACTCAATTGACAGCAACCGAGATCCATGCAGGGGGAGATTCGGGAGCAGGAGGCACCACTTTGCAGGGGCATTTGAGTATGTTTTTCGTTTAATTCTGTTCATTTCTAGCCACTGCCCAGGATGCACGAGAACGTCGTCTGACGTCCGTCGGAGTATTTTCTTGCTTGCCCAGTCCACCTCGGTCTGACACAGACTTGCCCGCTGTCGCATTAATGCCCGTGTGCGTCTCCTTGTCTGTTTCCCAGGCTACCGGGGCCTCCCAGGGTGCCCGCCGCTGGCGGCGGGACCGGCAAGGCCCACGGGGCGACCAACCTGAACCGCCGCAGTCAGAGCTTCACCAGCATAGACAAGAAGAAGCCTTTGCAGTACGCCAGCGGAAACGACAGAGGTGGGGCGCCTTCGGGGCTCAGCTAGCAAACAGCTCGGGTCGGAATGATCAGAATCCAGAACGTCCATAATGGCTGAGGTTGTAGCAGTAGAACATGCCGTCTCGATAAAAGGAGGGGCCTCGGCGGAGCTCAATTTAGGTGGGAGGGGGCTCCCTGGGCTGAAGTCATTGCATAAAATGGTGCTGTAACAACCATTAACATATTTTGGGCCCCCCTCAGCTTAGGGCCTTGGGCTGAAATTACTGCATAAAATGCTGCTGTAGCAAACAGGAAATAATGTCGGGGCCCCATACAACTTGGGCCCCTGGGCTGCATCCCTGGTTAGCCTGGCAGGAGTCTGGCCTTGGGCTTCAGTGCTTGTGTGCCTCAGCCATGGCCCCCTGTTCTGTGAGCCCGGGGGGGGGGGGGGGGCTATGCTGAGGCCATCCTGCCTTAGACTGAGAACGATGCCATCCTGGATGTGGGAGGTGAGGTAATATCATCACCCCCCCCAGCCCGTCCTCAGTCCCCAGAGGGTTCCTGTCCGCACCACATTTACTCCCCAGCTCTCAGAAGGACGCCTTCTCACACCAGTCGCTGCCAAGGCTGCCCCCCTGTGGTCTCCGGCTCGCGGGGGCGTTTTCATTGTACAGCATTTATTTATTTACTTTGGCACTTTTGGCCTGATGGATTTACATGCCAATGTAGCACCCCCTCCTTTCACCCCCCCCCCAAAAAAAATTAAATAAAACCATGTTTGTGTTGCCCTTTGATAAATGGTTGCGTCCACAGAAAGCGGCTCCAGTCTTTGGGAATACCCGGTTCTGCTCCCTGTTGGCCATTTACGGCTTAGCCCAGATCCACGGTGCTCTCATGCCCCCCCCCTTCCAATCGCCTCTCTAGTCCCCTGTGGTGGGGGCCCACATTTGCTGAATGGCCACACTGTCCCTGGAACAACCTGCTGATTGTCTGCCTTCTCCGCAAGCGGCGTAAATAACAAGCATGCATGCATGTCTGCCACTCTCTGTCGGGGGACGTGGCACCAATACGACCCACGAGGTGTCGGGTCTGCGGTGGCCCAGTGGACCTTTAAGCACTGTGAGAAACACAGTCATACAGTACCTCCCGTGACGAGGAGAGGTGCCACGTGCTTTTAATGCTAATGCTAACTGCACAAACAAAGAAACACAGCAATAGACTTGCTGGCGGGCACCAAGCACGACGGACTGTCTCTGTAGGGGGTCTCTGTCCCTGGCGGGCACCAAGCACGACGGACTGTCTCTGTAGGGGGTCTCTGTCCCTGGCGGGCACCAAGCACGAGGGACTGTCTCTGTAGGGGGTCTCTGTCCCTGGCGGGCACCAAGCACGACGGACTGTCTCTGTAGGGGGTCTCTGTCCCGGCCCAGAATTTGAGCCGTTAAATGGGAAAAAATATATTTGCATGCCAAACACAAACAACAGTGACTTTATGAAGGATATCAGACATCCTGCATCTTCCGGAAGTTCCGGGAGTCTCCCACAAATCGACAGCAGCTCCCTGACAACTGCGGATGATGCACAACATCCTGGAAATCTGCCATGCAGCTGTTCAGCTGGTAAAATTAGCCAGCAAGAAGTTGTACCACTGCAGGCTGCCCCACCCAAACCCCCCACTGCACACTGACATTCTGTGGTATCCGGTACTTTGATGGTATTTTAGAAAGCAACACTATTCCAGCATTTTCCAGATAAAATTTTCCTGGGGGGGGTGTTTTGTTTTCCAGTTGTCAATGTGCTGGGATCTCTGCGATGTACAATCTCACATACAAGTGAACAACCCCTAAATCACAGTCCCAGTTCTGCAGTAATCTGCTGTTCTGTTTTTGCATTCAGATCCATGTCTTCACAGTGGCTTCCTGGTGTGAGCGAGAGGAACATTTTACACAAAGATGAAACGCGTCGGGCAGACGATGTTACATGTGTAGTGGTTACTGCAGAGAGATGGCAGTCGGCTGTGAGTGCGGAGATGTGACAGTTACTGCAGAGAGATGGCAGTCGGCTGTGAGTGTGGAGATGTGACAGTTACGCAGTCAGGGTGTGCTGTAGCGGAGATGTGACAGTTACGCAGTCAGGGTGTGCTGTAGCGGAGATGTGACAGTTACGCAGTCAGGGTGTGCTGTAGCGGAGGAGAGAAGACAGAGGATGCAGCGAGTGCTGAGTATGTGGCAGATATGTGGGAGGGGCGGCGTGGGGGGGGGGGCATGAGGTGTGACATTCCGCTGCCCCGACAAGGTGCTGAGTGGCATAAAAAAAGTGTGTGTTACCATGGAAACCCAGCATGGTTTTCCTCTGGAGCTACGAGTCGGGCGGATCAGTGCCTGAGTGCCTGGCCACTGTCCACGGAAATTGGCATCGCTCGTTAAATGTGTTGGGAAGCTTTGTGCCCCCCCCCCCACCCCCCACCATGATAGATGGATAGATGGGGGGGGAGGGGGGCTCTGGCATTCGGTTGTCGAATGTTACACGCTCATCATTTAGTGGGGTCATGCCGGCCTCTTTACCCAGCCAAAGTGCTTATTGATGTCAGTTGAGGAGTTTGTAAGCATCCGTACCGTCCTGACACATCACCCAGCATGAAGTTTCCAGGCAGGCGAAGACAGGTTACACCACGGTTATCAAACCGTTTCACGAATAAAAATAAATCCTTTGCATCCGTTATTCCATAAGGGGGAATTGGGAAAATGTACAGAGTACAGCATTACGGGTTATGTTATTCGTATGCTTATTTTCCCTGGACAAACTGCATGAAACATTGAAGCAGCGCCACATATTGGTGGCACGTGAAAGGACAGCCCCAGACGTGGATGACAGTCAGACAATGACATGCAAAGTTGGTCTTTTAATGAAGATTTTTGGAGAGGAAGGGAGAGAGTGTCAGGGGGCTGGAGAATCTGGAGGTTGGGTGTGTGGAAGGAGTAGGGATTATATAGTTTATTTTTCTGTTTGTAGAGGTTTTGTCATCTTCTCCCACTTAACTGAGTGCTATTAGGTGATTGGATGCCCCTATTTGCACTGAATGCGGTCAACATAGTTCCATACTGTTTCCCTGGTGGAATGAATCCTGCAGCGTTGCCCTGTCCATCACCATACTGTAAGTGGGGTGATGTGGACGTTTCTGGAGTTTGACGGGAATCCCTGAGTCCATGGTGGCTAAGGCTTAGCTCCCAGCATGCACTGGGCTTAGTAAATGGGGAGCATGGTTTCTCACACAGACCTCAATCTCCCCTGAAGCGTGCTCGGTAGCGGTGGCAGTGAAAAATAAAATGGAACATCCTAGGATAGATGGGGAGGGGGAAAAAATCTCCCCGCTCAGCGGCGAAAATGAGGCACAAATCACCCGCATCCAGCTGTATGGGAGCCCCGTGATATTTAGAGATTGCCCCAAAACCTGTTCATTTTCTGCTTGGGTGGCCCCATTAACTCTGGGGTCTCAGCACCAGAGGAGAGATTCGGAAAGCGCCGTTTGTTCCCCATTGCTCTTGCACCCCCAGAGGTGGGATAAGAACATAGGCTGGGAGGGGTGTATATAGGGGCGGGACCACAGGGCCACTGGTCTCAGCTGAAAGCTGATTGGTCCCCTAAGTGCCCTTTCTCCTGTTATTCACCTGCTAATAAATATTATTAGCTAATGATATGGACGGCCCTTCCGTATGAATGATGACCCTCTCTTCCTGTCTTGCTCTTTCGCAGAATCGGTGTCATCAATCCCGCTGCCCGGCATGAATGGGAGCCCCCCACTGCCTGCCTGCACCAACGAGCAGCAGCTGGTCTCTGCCATCCCCTCCCCCAGCACCAGCAAGCCCTGGCGCAGCAAGTCCATGAACATGAAGCACAGTGCCACCTCCTCCATGCTGGCAGTCAAGACGCCAAGCCCAGCCACCTCCCCAACGCCGCCACCGGCCCCCAGCCCCACCCCCATGCTCGGCCTCGCCTCTGACCGTCTCAGGCCCCCACTGGCCGAGATGGGAAAGGCGGCTGCCGGGGTCCAAAGATCTATGCTTGAGAGGTTCAAGCTCGTCAACACGCGGCCATCGCCACGACCTACAGCATTCCCCAGCCCTGGTTCGATGGCCGAGATGACCCTGCAGGAGGAGGAGATCATCCTGGAATATGGAGAGGAGGGCCTGATGGGACCGGGCTCTGCCTGCAGCAGCCCCAGGCAGCCCCTCAAGTCTGGCCTGGTGAAAAACCCCAGTAAGACCTCCGGCAGCAAGGCTCTGGTCCAGCCTAAAGACAAGGAGGACAAGAGCAGACCCAAGAGCAGAGCCAGCACCCCTAGCCGGGAGGAGAAGGAACAGCCTGCTGATACCCCCAAGAAGACCTCGAAGATCGCCAGCCTCATCCCCAAGGGGGGGAAGTCCTCGGCTGTCAAGAAGGAGGGCATCCCTCCAGTATCCAGCGGGATCCCCAAGCCGGGCACCAAGGTGTCCCAAAGCGGCGCCAAGCCAGCAGCCTGTCCTGCCAGTCTGCCCGTCGTCAGCCGTGAAGGCGAGACAGGCAAACCAGCCAAGGGAGGCCAGACCTACCATGCGCCACGGCCGCTGGGAGGACTGCCAGGGCCGGGGGGGCGCCGCACCAGCATGGTGTCCTCGTCATCAGCCTTAGGCCTGAATGGGGGGCCCGTGCCCGGAAACGGGGCAGTTCAGCTGCCACAGCAGCAGCAGCACAACCATCCCAACACGGCCACCGTCGCCCCTTTCATATACAGGTGAGCCTCTAGGGGGCAGCAGTGGTGTTAACAGAGGCTAGAACAATGCAATGCTGGATGGTCGGACTAGGTGCCTGGTGGATTTAACAATTCAGTTATGTCAGATACGAAAAAAGCAGAAAAAGCAGAGTGAAGAGAAACGTGGGAGGGAGTAGAAAGGAAAGGGAGGCAGAACTAACTTTGGTTATTGTGTCTTCAGATACAAATACAATGCCCATCCTGTGCATGTTACATCTGGGCATGAAGACCCTGCCGATTGGCCAGTTTTTCCCTCCTTAAAGGGCCAGGCGCACTATAAATGATCGGCGTAGAACTCGGCACTCTGGTGGCTCTTCAATGGGCAACGTTGAGATGAGTCAGAGTCCGAGGAGCTGCTGCTGCAACTCGAGCCCAGACGTGTTATAACGCCCACGTAATGCGGCCGATCCAACGCGCTCTCCTTGTTCCCGCGATGCTGTGTGTCGGCGATTGGCTGGCGGCACTAGAAACAGGAAAATAGATTTTTTGGTGTCAGCCATGAGCTTCAGGAGTTTGGGAATATATTAAAGAGCAGCAGAGGCCTAGGGCTGCCCTGTGCGTTGAACAGCCCAGCAAGGAGTTCGGGGTTGATGAAAATGTGATCTTCACATCAGCAACAGGAGCGTTTTATTCTATTGTGCTGCTGGTCTTGTCTCTGTACATCACAGTGCCACAGGGGCAGGCTGAGAAGATCCTTTCCACATCCTGTCACTTTGACTCCATGGAAACCATTCGCCAGAGGCGTATACGGGGGCAGGGCCACTAGACCCAGCTGAAAGCTGATTGGCCTCCAGAGTGCCCCTCCCCTTTCACTCGCCAATTTGAAACATATTGGCTAATGATAAGCTTGCCCCCTCTATATCAATTATATATCCTTTTATGCCCCCCACCTTAAAAAAAAATCCTAGAATTGCCCATGTCGTTCGCTCCTTGTAAGCGGGAGTGTTTATTTCCTTACAGTTGAATTTCGCTGTAGTAGAGGGCAGATTACCCTCTTCTCAAAGTCGTCTTCGAATTCTCTCGGGGAAACGTTTGTGGAGGTGGCTTTTGTTTGCCACTGACAAAGCTTATAGTCCTCGACGTGCTGAAATTAAAATCTGGCTCCACCTGGCTCTCATCCCCATCCTGTTATTTTCGTCACACTGATAAGTCCATACCGGTGCAGTGGAGCACTTTCTCTACATGAATTACCCGGGTGGCAACGCTGCGGTTTGGTAAATTGAAGTTCCCCATGGCGACGTTATTCCTATGGTTTCACGGAATTGGGCGCATTATAAAGAGACGAGTCGTTAACCCGAAGATTACCTGATAGTTATCAGTACATTATCAATGTGCCCTGTTTTCTAGTGCACATGAGTCTTCTTATTATAGCTATTGAACTTTTGACCCCCCAGGACCTGCTCTGAGAATGACTGTGCCAGCGTGGCCCCCACTGACCCCTGCCTCAGCCCCTCCAAGGAGGACCTGGTATACAGCAAGACGGCCAAACAGTGCCTGGAGGAGATCTCTGGTAGGTAATGGAGGTGGACAGGACAGACCCCCAGAAACCCCTCAGTGACTTAGGACAGAGTGATTTGAGCATTAGACCAATGAGCAAGTCCCTTAATGCCCAATTATTCCAGGGCCTTTCTAATCCTGCTATCTCTGGAAAAAAAAAATGGAAATGTGTTGCCTTTGAGAAAAAGCATTTGCTAAATAAATAAAATGCCAAATAAAATGTCCTGGAGTGGACAGGAGCCACAGATGAAGATGGGAGGAATGAGGCTTTGGAAGCCAGAGCTGATGTTCCGTTTGCTATTAAGTCACTGATTGGTTCAGAGTGGAAGGCTGTCAAGGATCCAATGAGAAGTCAATTCCAGATGTTTCTCCCACGATTGCACAAGGGCAGATGTTTTTAGGTGTCTAGGTCTATCCATCACTCTGACCTCTCTGTTTTCTGCCGGGAGTGCCAGCAGTGCATCGCATGGAGGAGCGGGATGGCATGTGAGGACGGAGAGCAGATGGTGATTTAGACAGCCTGCTGCAGGTGGGGGTGGCATTATGAGCAGTTAAGGAAAGGCTGCATTTAAGTGATAGGCTGCTCCCTGGGACTTACCAGAAAGACCTGGATTAGCGCTAGCAATTAGCATTAGCATTAGCGATTAGCACTAGTGATTAGCGTTAGCGATTAGCACTAAGGAGGTTGTTCAGTTATGTCATGCGCTGTTGCTCAGGGTGCGCATCCTACAGTGTGCAGGCTTAACAGAGAAAATGCAAAAGTGCTGACTTTTATTTAAACAGAAGATGGACAACACAGAGGATTGGTGCAAAACCGAACTCTCTTCTCCTAGCACGTCTTGTTGTGCTTGTAATTTGCATCTGGAAAACCAAACAGAAACTTTAACAGGACAACATAAATGGATGCTTTCATGTGCTGCGTGAGCTAGTTAAAGTCACAGGATTTTTTAACGCAGTGTTGCACGACATTGTTTTCGGTCTTATTTTTATATTTCTAAGCTGTAATTACACATGCATGTGGTCCTTTTGTGGTGGTCAGAGTCAAGTTGGATTTGCATCTAGTACAGGACTGAATCTAGAATCTGAATGTAGGCTGCAGGACTGTCTTTTCCTGATAAACATATGGCATGGTATGTGTAGAAAAGCGATCCCCATTTACCGGGTTAGATCTGTAGTGATCGCTAGGTGATCAGCAGCCTCGAGGTATTATCCCAGAGCCCCTGTGTGTTTTCAGAGAGCTCTAAAACAGCCTTCCTAATCTCATCTGTGATTGGTGGATGAGGGATGGACTTTGCAGAAGGCTGTTTACTACTCCCTGTGGCTCCCTTGCTGAATACATGAGATCTATCCCCCCACCCTTCCAAAAAATTACATTCAGCAGCAAACTACAGCACAAGTAGACCTCAGGTCTATATTTCCTATCCACAGGCTCTGTTTGGGTCTTTGGGGAATCAGGAATATCAGGCCAATCCAGAGCTCCCGGATGTCACGGACAGTCACAAACAGGATGAAATGATGTGCTGTACTTCTGTCCGCAGAATGGATACAGCGAGTCTTAGGGTGACCCCTCCCCTTCTGAGAGCCCAGAAAGTGGGTGGGGAACCTTCAGGAGGAGCTGCAGGGGTATCAGGGGGTGCAGGTATGGCAAAAGGGGATCTGGGGGACAGAGGGGGCCATTGAGATCGCAGGAGAGACCTTCAGCAGGAGGGAGATTAAACAGTAGCTGAGCTTTAGAAGTGTGAACGAGCAAGAGAGAGAGAGAGGGAGGGAGAGACGAGGGAGGGAGAGGCAGGAAGAGAGAGAGGGAGAGTGAGGGAGACAACACGTTCATCAGCTCCCTCACCGCTCACTGGGCTGCTGAGGAGCTGAGGGGAAGGAGATAGCAAGGAGAGGAGTAAGAGAGGGAAGGAGGAGCGCAGTGTCGTGGCACCAGGTGGCAGGAGGCGTGGCGGGGCGACGGCAGAATGCGGCGGACGGACTCCGAGCCCGGTCCCGCCCACATGTGAGGAGCAGCTTGGCCGGCTGGTGCAGAACGCGAGAGATCCAGTGTTAGGAGGCACGGCGTGGTCCGGAAGAGGATGTGAGTGGCGAACAGGTGGAGCAGTGGAACCGGAACACGAAGATCCAGAGAGAGAGAGGAAGAGTAGGAGGATGAAGAAGGTGACAGAGTTTTCCGTCTTCCAGGGTGGGAGCCCCACCACCAGGCGGACGCCCCCGGCTCGTGAGAAGCTCTACAAACCAAAGTCGCTCACAAACCTGACCCTCCTGAGTGAGGCTCGATCCGCCCTGGAGTTGGAGGCCTGGAAAAGAGGCGTGGACAATGCCCCCGTTGACCCCCGGCAGAGGGCTCGCACGCGCTCCCTCTCCCTTTCCCTGTCCAACGTCTTCTTCCGCTCGCAGTCTCCGTTGGCGCGAGCAGCAAGGCCACCAGATGGGCGTGCCACCTCGGCCCATCCACCACTAGGGGGCAGACGCAGGGGCGGCGTGGGTGAGGGCACGGACGAGGAGGGCGGCAGCAGCCGGTCGGATGATGAGGCGGGGGCTCACGCACCGGGCCTGGACACCACCGGGGGTCTGTGGGGGGAGGAGGAACATGGGTGTGCCCGTGAAGGTACCGCGCATTTGGACAAGGAGGTGATTCTTACCATGTTGGGGGACTTGGAGCAGGCCCTGCACTCTCATTCGCTGCGTAAGTGTCACCTGTCACCAAAGTCGACTGCATCTCCGTCTACACTGGACTCGATGACGCCTACAGGTCCGCCACAGATACTTTTGTTATGGTGGATTTAGGCTTGTCGCCACACTGTTGGTGTGTAGTTAGCTAACCCATCTGCGAGATATAGCGTTTCTGGGGGATTTGACCCGTCAGCACGGTAATCAGAAGGGGGTGTCGATCGGGGTTCCACAGAAGCGTGTCTTAACCATGAGCTCGTGGGGAGGCGGGGCTTTGGCACATGTGTGCGACCGTTGGGGGTGCCTCGCTAGTGCGCCAACCCAGCAAAGTGGGTGTATCACCAAACAGGGAAAAGCTGTGATACCTAACACGTGTGTGCGAGGTTTTGTGTGATTTTGATGGTAAATACAGCTTTTTATCCTTATTACCTCCGGGGCTTGAGATTTCTGTTTGGTTTCACGTACAGCTTCACAGGCGTGTGGCTTCCGCTTTGATATCGTAAACTGCATTGACGGAATAAGCTTTTTTACTGCATTCTCGGATTACGGCGCTATTGTATTTCGCCATTGTGTTGCCGCATTGACATTGATGATACCCATGACGTGATTTATAGGGACCTGTCAGCTCTCCGTTATATGAACAAAAAAGAACCATTTAATGTCACTTCTCTATGCAAATGCCTATCTGGGAGTGGTGGTATCCTGAAGAGGACTGCACTGTTCATTGTGGAGGTTCGGACAGAGATTCTGAATATTAAGGGTATGGAACACAAGGTGGTATCTGAGTAGGTGGGGTCCAGAGTACCCCCTCAACGTGCCGAGTCCACGTTCAGCACAGTCCACCTGCCCGTAATATGACTGTAATTGGCCGATTCTAATAAGCAGCAACCAGTGGACTGGAGCTGTTCCCACAGCAGCTGGTGCCTCTTCCAGGACCTCAGGGTGAGCAGATAAAAAGCTTTAGGTCCGTGTGTTTTTCCCTTGGGTGACCAAACCGACCCCAGAACTCAGGCCTTCTCTTATCCCCGCCTATGTTTCGGATAAGAAGCCCACCTGTTTGTTGTAAGAGCCCCCAATAAATCACTCATCAGGTCATTAAACTGGACCAGTGTCCGGCTGGCGTGGGAGGTGCTATCGGAGTGGTCACCACCTGCGGGGGAAAATGTGCTGAATTATTTATCTCTGTCACTCTCCTATTTCCTGGGTCTACAGCTGAAAAGTGAGCATGTCTGCATGGGTCTCTTCTTATCTGTCACGCACGTGCGTTCATGTCTAATGACAGAAACGCAAATCACACAAAACACAAAAAAGTTTTAGAAGATACAGTTAAATAACATTTTCAACAATTTCACAGAATTCAAGGTGTCTAAACAGGTTGCAAGCTGTTTTCTCGTTTTATCAGTGTTAACACCAGTTTTACAGTGACCACGATGATCTAATTTAAGCTTTTAACAGATTAAGTTAATAAACCGAAGAACATTCAGAAAGAAAATAAAACAGAAATACAAAACATGGCAAAACAATTTCACAATCTGAATTTCACAGAATAGACAAAGTAGTTATAAATCTGGGAACAAAATATCAGTCCATTTTCCAATGGCCTATCTAGTACATGGCTACAGGAACAACATGTTTCACAGACAAATTAATATAATGTCAAAATTTATCCCCAGAACTGAAAATTAATCTTTACTGGCCAACTATTCTGTTCTTAATACTGGTAAGATTGGATTGGGTTCGTCATTTTCCTGAGACAGCAAGCATGGTTGGATTGTACATGCAATGCTGGTTTCATTTGGTGGTTTTCATTCCTGGTCCTGGATTTGATAAGCTAGGGCTGTTGTGTATTTACAGCCTTTTCAGTCAGTGTCGTTCCCTGGAGGGAGAGATCACTCTTTAGTTAACACATTTTAAATAACCTTTGGCATATCTGCTGATTTCTAAACTGTTGCAGTCTCTGCTAACATTGTTTGTTCCTAAACAGTTCTGCTGCACTTGTTACAAGTGATATTGTAGCTTAAGGGCATTAGATAAATCAGATCCGAAGATGAATTCCAGGGAAAGCTAGGATGTTGATGTAGTCATTTCAATGGAGCTCCGAGCCTCAGAGCTCTGAAGCGAGGAGGAACATGGGCGCCTGCCTTGGTCTGTAGATCCCCTGACCTTCTGGAATGAGCTTCTTGAGAGAGCGCGGCCTGACACAGGTTGCCCCACGCCCGGCTGGTCTCAGCCTGACCTCCCGTCTCTCCACCCTCCAGGGGAAGACCCTGAGGCGAGGCGGATGCGGACGGTGAAGAACATCGCCGACTTGCGGCAGAACCTGGAGGAGACCATGTCCAGCCTACGTGGGACGCAGATCAGCCACAGGTCGGCCATGCCTCTCTTAAGACTAGCCTGGGAGTCATTTAATTACTGGCATCTATTAATGTATATAATTATCAGTACACTGAAAAAGAGGGTGGTGAGGCCAGTTGCCAGAAGGCTATTTTATACAGTCTGCTTAGCAGGTATCAGCAGGCACAGAGAACTGAAGCCAAACTGCCTTATTTGGAAACACACATAAAAAAACATGTTTTTGAAGCGTGCAAGAGTGTAGGAAGGGGATAAAAAGCAATAATTTTAATGTAAAGGGCTGTTTTTTGGCGGCTAATGAATGAAGCCAAATAAAATAATGTGGGGTAGATGGGCGACCTCCCCACCCCCCCATTTCCCTTGCCCCTGTCTGCATGTTTTTTTTTTAATCTAAACCAAGAGGGTCGAAGGTGTCTGATGGTGTACTGTCAGTACATGTCATTTGATGCTATGGTTGGTAACCCTACAGGCCCCCTGGGATGCTCCTCGTTTATTGGGGGGGGGGGGGGGATGTCATGGAGGATGTTAGTTCCCGGCACCAGGCCCCCGGTGCCCCTCCCACCCTCCGCCCCACTTCAATGATCCAGACAGACATCCGGTCGAGAAATTAAACTGGCAAGGCGGCGTAGAACCTGCCAGGTAGCAGCCAGCCTCTCTGAGATAAGATTCTGTGGGCAATCAATGGGGCCCCGGGCCCCCCCCTCCTGGGCAGACATGCCATGGAGGACTGACAGACGGTGCGTCAGTCTCAGTCACTGTGATCTGCCTGAGAGGAGCATTGTGGTGTCAAAAACAAATGAAAGAATAGTCCGTGTGTGACAGGGTAGCTGAGAGGACTGAGAGGTGTCAGCCAATCAAAGGCAGAAGGTGTTGTTCTTCAAATCGGCCAGATGGGACGAGCGGCAGGCCAGAGTCGCGAGGTTCCCGGATGGTGCCTTTGCCGTTTATTTCCTCGCCAGCTTGGAAAGGCGGATGCTCGCTGATGTGATCACAGACCGGCCCGGGTGATATTTACGGAAAGCTGCCTGTCATCACGTTCTACCGTCGTTATTCAGCCAAGTGGGTCTTGTTTTGGGGCCTGACATTCAGAAAGGCCTTCTGGAGGTCGACCCAGGTGTAGACCTGATGACTTCTGTGTTTTTTATTTTCATTCTGGGGAGGGTCTGTCACCCGTGAGCTTCCTCGAAGGTACAGCAGACCAGAGGTGGAAGTTCAGGTCCAGAAAGTAGAAATCCAGACCAAGGTTTTGTTTCAGCCAACCAGTTGAGTATAAAGAATCACAGTACTCAACTGGTTGGTTGAAACAAAACCTTGGTCTGGATTTCTACTTTCTGGACCCGAACTTTCCACCTCTGCAGCATATACATGCCAAACAGGCTGACCCCCCCTCACCTGCCTACAACGGGCTGCGATTCCCATTGATTCCCCAGGCACGTGCCACCCCCCCTTAGCCCCACCCCCTGCCCTGCTCCGACAGCTGCATTCTGAATCGCTTCAACTTCCCGAGCCGTGACCAAGTGTGATTGTATTGATTTAAGAGTCCAGTTAAGCTTCTTCGTTTCTCGTTTTTTCCCCCTTGTCTCCCATGAGTGCCCAGAAATGCCTGTGTTTGGACATTAAAGTGCAAAAAATATCTTCGGCAATGCAGATAAAAAAAAACGAAAAAAAAAAAAAAAAACGTGGGCGGTGTTTACTCATAATGCCCACTTGCGCCACTCGTCCATTTCTGTTTCGTGAAGAAATCTAGCCAATGACAGTGCCTCACCTGTGCTCTCTGGAATGCCGTGAACCATATGCTATTGCTTGGCACAGACCACGCCTCTGTACCCTTGCACAAGCTGTTATCTTCCAGGACACAATCTGCCAGCTATACGAGCCAGCAGATCTAAGGAAGTCAGAGGGAGCAGTCAGGTGCCATCAGGTCGAATATCGCACAGTTGATACACACCTGTGGTAGCCTTGCACAGAGTTAATACTGCAATGGTAATGCTAAGCACAAAATACATTATTCCAATATTATACACTCACCGCAGTTCTGGTTTATTGCCACCAGGGGCAGTGTTTCATATGTCTGTGTTATAGAACTCATATTATAAGAAGTGCAGAAACAGATTCACACACGCAGAGTGGGACCGTCCCATCCGTTCATAACGTGGCACACTACAAGCAGATGTTAGCTCAGGCCCTCGCGGTCGTCCGGAAACGGGCCTCTCAGCACGGAGCGCATGAATATCAGTCAGGCGGAGGCTGAGGCCAAGTCATCGTGACTCTGCTTGTTACAGCTCATAGATGGGGGCCGTCTCTTTGTCCTGACACTCATTATGTATTTGTTCTGCCGTTATGCGCAGAAGGCGGCAGAACCAGACCAAACAGGCGTCAGCCGCTGGCCAGGGTGCTGAACGGCAGGGTGTCCGATGCTGAGTTGCCACTCACTGATTTCGGAGGATCAGGTCCCC